CCAGAGACAGAGTGGGGAGCAGAGCAGGCAGAGGTACTGAAATACACTGCTGAGGGGAGCAGCGGGCGGGTCAGGAGAGGTCTGCCGCGCCATGCTGGTCATCTTCCTGGCAGGGATCAAATTTGTGCTGCAGTGGCTTCAGAGAACTTCATAATGCAGTGCTTTAACCTTTACGTCACCAGGGAGAGCCCCCATTTTCTTCTTTTTAAAAAAGGTTGTGGGCCCTTTTTGGTGGCGCAGCGGGTTAAAGCACAGCACTAAGAAGCTAAAGCCACTTCCGCATGAGTTCGATCCCCGCCCTGGAGATGATCCACATGGAGTGGCAGACCTCTCCTGGCCTGCCCGCTGCTCCTCTCAGCAGTGTTTTTCAATCAATCTGCCTATTCTGCTCCCAACTCTGTCTCTGGTTCATCCTCTCACTCCCCCCCCCAAACCTCTGGCCTGTACCCCAGTTCTGTATGTATGTGTGTGTGTGTATACATATATACATACGTATATATATAAGCCCTTAAAAAAAAAGGTTGCAATCACTGTTTATCACATATACAAAAGGTGTTTCCTTTTAGCTTTGGTGTGACCCAGATTAAAAAATTATCTATTACATACATGTAGCTAGTATGGGTATCTTTGTCTATGTCTATTTTAATATCTATATCTAACTATCTCACTAGAGTTATATATAGATACAGAGATTAGGCATCTCTATATCTAACTAGATAAGTCACTGTTAAAAAGAAAGCCTGCCATAATTCTTATGACCAGTAAACACAATTCTGCAATGTGATTAACATATTACTTTGATTTATTTGGGGGTTTAAACCCCAGATTTATTTGCTTTTTCTAAACATTGAAAATATAAAACATAAAATATCAGAGCCAGAGCAAACTGCTTATAAAAGACATTTTAGGGAAGGTCTGAATATTATTCTATTAGGAGTCTCAATCATATGGGTAAGGCTCCCCACTACTTGACTTAGGGTAAAGACAAAGGCCATCTTCCCCCACTCTACCAATCAGAGAACCCCAGGTGATAAGCAAGGACTGCTTATCATTAGTTTCATTTCTGTAGCCTTGAATTAAACCTGAGTGAATTGATAACAGCCATGAAGGAGGGAAAGGGAAGAGTTGAATTAGACCAGGAATAGATAACAATGGCCTTGATTTTCAGTGTTTCTCTGTAAAATAATGGGCCTTATTTCTCTCCATCACTTCATCAAATAACATCTGGGGGCTTGATGGATCAGCTCTTTTCGAGGTCATTCTTACCACAGCATGGAGAGATTCAATTTCCACTTGCAGGTGGTGCCACTGGCGTCTGGCCTCCTTGAGTTCTGCCTGAGCAGCCTTTAAAGCCTCTTCATCCTTGTCCATTTTTTTGCTTATGTCTTCTTCTAGCTGCAAGAAAGCCAACAATAGAAATAAAGAAAAAGCTCTCTTAAGAATGAAGTGTTTCAAAGCAATTATAAAAAAATAGTTTAGGAATGGAATCATTATTTTCCTTTAAATGGCGAGGTTACAAATGTCATTTAGAGATTAGTTACTAATTAAATATGAGAGCAGGTCAAGTACACCCTCAACCTCGGTCTTTTCAGATGGGAGGAGAAACTCAAAAGTCCCTTCTCACTGACAGTCTGAAAAGGAGAAAAATACAACTTTAAAAATGAGAAGTATCGGCCCTCCCTGGTGGCGCAGCCGGTTAAAGCACAGCCCTAAGAAGCTTAAGCCACTTCCACATGAGTTCCATTCCTGCCTGCCCCGGAGGAGATCCACATGGCGTGGCAGACCTCTCCTGACCCGCCCGCTGCTCCCCTTCGTTGATCTGCCTGTTCTGCTCCCCACTCTGTCTCTGGTGAAGCCTCTCACCCTCCTGCATCTCTGGCCTGTATCCCAGTTCTGTATGAATAAATAAATAAATCTTTAAAAAAAAAAAGAGAAGTATCTAGGAACTAAGTTTTGAAACCCCCAATTTGTAACCTTCCATTATTTCTGGGATTATGAGTATTGACAATTAGTTAACCCTCACTGCCATGCATTCTTGTAGGCTGTTTTATAAAAGCAGATCAATAGCTGTATGTTCTAAACAGATCAGTTCTGGGCCTGGGTATCTATACAGGGAGTAAAGCTGCTAGTGAATATGTTGTGGTTCATTTAGAGAATTAAGTTATCATAGGTATTAGGATATTAGAGAGCCCCCTATTGCTGCATCTTTTCCAGAATGATCTTTTCAGAAGGCATGATACTTTTGGGCTTTTATAGTAGTAGTAAAAATGACTTCTTTTGCGATTGTTTTCTAAATGTCTTCATATAAGCTGACCAGCAGGTTATTTTATAGTATACATTACTATTTTTATTTTCTATTATTACCACTTAGTTTAACAATGTTCAAATCTGGGGTGGCCCAGGGTCACGCTAGCCAGCAGAATGTGCCAGAAGTGCCAGTTTTAGGCCTGAGCCTTAGGACCCCCTGAGGACCCCCACCCCTGCATTTTGGGAGCCCCAGGCCGATATGCAAGGATTCTGGACATCTTGGAGAGATGGCCCAGCAAAGAATCCGAGGTGCAGGGTAAGAGAAGCCAGCCCTAGGTGCTTCAGCACAGCCCATATTCCAGACATCCTGGCAAGGTGCCAGGTACTAGTTAGCCATCTCATGTCCAGACCAGTTGTGCCCCAAGATGACTACAGGCCCAGCCAACATCACAGGAATTGCCCCCACTGATCCCAGTCATCCACAGAATCAAGAGAAAGGATGTAATGCATGAAAGTCAACACCCTAAGTTTCAGAGTGGTTTGTTAAAGAGCAATCAATAACGAAAATAGCTCATATTCCATTCGTTTGTAATAATTAAATAATGGGGCTCTCTTGAATTTATTCCAGTTGACTCTGAAAATAATCCCCGAAGTAGTTTTACATTGTAAAGATTAAACAAAACTTACTGTAGTCTTGCTTTTTGTTATTCATTTCAGTATTGTGACTTATGAACTAAATAATTTGTATTCTTACCATTGCTTTTTAGTTTATAATTTTTATAGTTTATAATTGTCAGCTATTACTTTTCCCTCTTTGTGAAAGGTTAAGTGAATTGTTTCAACACATAAATCAAATATCCCCATGAATTTGCTAATCTGGAGTACCTAAATCATTTTTTATGGATATGAAAAATGTTATCCAGAGATGACATTTGTAAAGTTACTAATAATGCATTGCTAATGGGTAAAGTCCTATGATTTCCCAGTAATATTTTTTCCCGTTTTGGTGATATTCTTTTTTATTTATTTATTATTTATTTATTTATTTTTTATAACAGTTTATTTTTACATCATTTTGTACATTTTTTTTTCTCAATTGTAATCCCTGCTGGTTTCCCATCACCCTTTTGGTGATATTCTTAAGCAAACTCATTGTCATATTTGGGTGCTTGGAATTATCTTGAACCCAGATATGATAAGTAAACTAAAAAAAAGGAAAAAAAGGAAAGTCCCTGACTTCTGGGTCTTTGTTTCTAAAATATGTGTACATTTTTTTAAAGGTTTTGAAACCTCAGTTAACTGCTTAGGGCAATTGTAGCTTTAATACACAAAAGTATTGAAATTAGGATGTAGACCTTAGTTAACTTGTTTTAGCACTTAAATGTTGGATGTCTACTATTAGAGACAAACATGTCTCATCTATAAGTACACACAAGCCAAAATCTATAATCTAAATGGAAAGTCATTATCAATTTGGGGTTTTGAACATCCCAATTTATATCGTTTCTGGATGCCACCTTCACACACTCAAATGATTTCTATTTATAACAGTCTGATATAAAGCTGAAAGTATTAGAAACCTTTTAGAAATTATTTTACTTAGTTTTAGCTCTCAAAGTGTGCAGGCTAGCAGATCTTGCTAGAAAGCTTTTTAAAGATGCCATTTAAATTAGCTCTATAAATAACGCCATAATATCTGTGAAGGGTATTTGAAATGCTTTCTTCCAGAAGGGTGTCTGAAAGGAGATTAGAGTGCACCATTTTATGGTATGCTGGCCCCATGCTTCCTAACACAGGAACCTCCTAATTTCTGTAGAAACATCAGGTGCACCAATCAACATCTATTTAATGGCTATTTAACAGTATTGTCGCCGCTTCCCGCCCCCGCCGTGGTCCCAGGCATATTTCAGTAAAACCTAAATTCCTTCCCCAGTATATGCTGCATTGAAAAGGAAATACTGTACCTCAGAGAGGCCGGGACAGGAATTGCATGGACAGGGATTGTCTCCTTATCCTGGAAGGTGCCTGTCTGTATGAAATCATTACCTGGATCCTTGTTGACAGCACGGTCTCTATCTGATTTCTGGTGAGGAGCTTTTCATAGTTTGCCCTGATCTCATTGAGTAGCTGGGACAGCTCCATTCTTTTCCCATCCTCCACCTTGGCTAACTGAACCTTATCGATAGGACAGTCGCTGCGGCAGAGCCGGCGGCCTGCTCGGCCTGCTCGTTCCTTTCTGCGCGTCTCCGGCAGCGGCCCAGCCTTAAAGAGGCAGAGCGCCCTTTTCAGGAGCTCGGGAATTTATTGCATCCTTGCTCATGAGTGGGGCAAATATTCGGCAAATCCTCACTCCTGTTGTTGTGTATAATGTCCCTCTCGGTAAAGGAAGTGGGTGATGAGAACAACCTCAGTATTCCTGGATCTCTTCTCTGTAAATTTGAACACCTTGGGGGAAAATAATGAATATATGTGATGGAAAGGAAATGGGGCATACATAACATCAAGAAAACGATATTTTCTATGTTCTGTTTCCCGCAAGATACGGTGTGGAAATAAATCTAGGCCCTTGAAAACACAATAGCTGCAATTTTCTTCTGCAGATTGTCTCCCCCTCACCATCTGGAGTAAGCGAATGCCGTCATAGAGGAGCTTCTAGGGTGGAAACCACAGGGTGTTCTGACAGTCAGTGGAAAAAGCGGCCATCAGTTAAGTGGACGATTATCATTAGTCACGGGAATGGTGGACGGTGTTTCTCTCAAAGACACAGCCACTCACCGCGGGGCTGCTGGCCTGACGGCGGGGTTCATGTCTTGGGGTCATTCCCGAAGGCACATTACTGATGAAGTATCGGGGAGACAGGTGCTAACCCGCCTTGAACGCTGACAGCTGACATGTCCCATGCTTGAACAAGAAACACAAGCAGATGGCCCAGGGGCTGGGTGGTCGCCGAGGAAGACTGTTGTGGGGTTCTCCGTTAGTAAGTGTACCTGCCTGGAAATAGAAGAGGCACTCAGCTACCTTTTTTTTTTTTTTAAAGATTTATTTATTCATACAGAAATGGGGTACAGGGGTGGTGAGAGGATTCACCAGAGACAGAGCGGGAAGCAGAACAGGCAGATCAACGAAGCACACTGCTGAGGGGAGCAGGGAGTGGCTACCAGAGTGGGGACAGGGGAGAATGGTCCTGCTGAATTGGGGACATTAGGGTTCCCTTTTTTTTTTTTTAAAGATTTATCTACTTACT